ATTTCTGATTCATTTATATGTTTGAGGTTATAAATTGAAGGTAAACAAGTGTTATGGTTCAGAAGGGGCCTTTCGGGTCGAACCATGTAACTGAAGGCTCCGCAGAACCAATTAGGCTGGGAGAATAAGTTCTATTGATTGGACTGCCATAGAAGAGTCACTGGAACGCAACACGACTATCCTTCCATGGATCACAACGTTCTTCATGACCCTCGGTATGAGATAGTCAGACCAGTGTTCACTAATATGAAGCAAATGAATATTATTTGTTGGTAGTCACTCATTTCCCCACGCCCCTAGAGGTCTATAGAATGCGACAGTTCCCTATGTACGAGTGGTAAGTAGTACTCTTGTATACTCTGTATCATAGTGCGAATGATTATTGACGAAACAAAACTTATTCTTGAGTGCTACCTCGGAATATTCCCGTCTTCCGAACGAACACCTAACAACTCTCCTCTTACGTAATGAAGAAAAAAAGAAACAGAAAAAAAAAAAAGGATTCTCTCTAAGCTGATCAATCGAAATACTGGTCCCATACAACCCCATGTCCTTGAGCTTCCTGCCGTTATGGCTAATAATCTCGCAGCCATATTCTTTCTAGCCAGCACTCGTTGCCGTATAATTACTGAAATTATCGCTAGTTATCTTCTGGAGGATGGGCCTTTATGTCCTTGGCGTGCCATACTCCGCGCGACTTTCCATCCTCATCCTTCAGTTCGTACGACCAGGGAGACGGAATTTTCGACATTGTAAACGAGCTTTCGTATCTTGGCATGAATTTTGCCGTGATCCCCTTCGAGGCATTCGACAGGGAATAGTTTTTTTTCCCAAACCCTCTGTCCTAGTTCAAAGGTCTCATCTCTTCGCCTTAAGTTGTACCGGTGACGACTAGACTAGACTCGAAGGCTTTCTTGAGTCGAGCCGCGACATCCTTGAATAGTGTATTCAATTCTTCAGAACGTGTTCCTGGGTTGAAAATCACTGGGTCTAGACCCTGAGTCGTCGGTTGCGTACTCAGTACGTTCTTACCGCATAGGGAGATTTCTCGACCCAACATGATGAGGTTGGGTGTGACTTGCGTCACCTCATGCTTTGCGGTGCGTATCGCGCACGCCACGGCTTGGAAATATCTATCCCATCGACGATGATTGGTCTCAACATACGCCGTTAAGATTGTTCTGATTACACGGTGAATTCTTTAGACGGGGTTTGCCTGAGCATGGTAATTCGAAATGTGGACCGGTTTGATCTCATATTTCGCGAAAATGTCCATCAAGACCTTGCTCCGGAATTGGACCCCATTGTCCATAATCACGCGTTGCGGGGCCCCAAACATCAAAATCACCTGATACTCGAAGATCTCGGCCACTTTCTTGGCTACGGCCTGCTGGAGAGGAAATAATAAAATATATTTGGTGAAAACGTCGCTGATAGACAAAATATAGCAATATCCGGACCCCGATCTAGGGAGAGGTCCAATGATGTCCATGCTCAAGGCTTGCCATGGACGACATAGTGTGGGGACAGAGCTTAGCATTAGTCCAGCAGGCGGTCTCTGCTCCGGCTTCGTCCGAAGGCAAATTTGGCACCGTCTTATATATCGGGCAATATCCTGCCTCATTTCAGGCCAATAGTACCTCTTCCTGACCCGGGCTAATGTTTTCAACATACCCAAATGACCACAGGTGGGAGGGTCATGATGGGCCCTTATGATATCCTCCCTGCGTTCCTTCGGCATTACTCTCAACCAGCTGTCGTTTTCCCAGTGAAGGCCAGGGTAAGAACAAGATACTCGTTTGAAGAGTTGCCTGCCTTTCTTCCTCCATTGCGGGTATTTCTCTGGTTCACTACTCACCTGTCCAGACATTTCGATGAACCAACGATCGGTGGTATTATCAATGGTAGGGCAGTTCAGTTCAACAGTATCGACACAGGGCACCGCCCGTGATAGACAGTCGGGTACCACATGTTCTTTTTCCCGTCGATGAATGATTTCGAAATCGTACTGTTCAAGCCGGACAGTCAACCTTGCTATCCGTCCCACTGGATCCTTAATGTTGTTAAGCCACTTCAAGAGTATTAAATGCCTGGTTACAAGTTTCATCTCAGTCGAATTTTTGGTTCTTCTTTAATAAGTTGGTGAGTGGTGCTGTTATTGAAGGAAAATTTGGCACAAACAGGCGTTACCAAGATGTCAAGCCAATAATTCTTTTTACGTCCTCTACCCCGGTTGGTGTCGGGATCCACATTATGGCCTCTACCTTCTCCGGGTCAACCATGAGGCCACCTGCCCCAACCACGTAGTCAGGATAACGTAACTCAGGCTTGCAGAAGTGGCATTTTCCTCGATTGAGGGTTAGCCCCGCGTCTCGAAGACGAGAGAGTACATTTCGTAATACCTCAATATGCTCCTCGAAGGTAGGAGTACAAATTATAACATCATCAAGGAACACGAATACGTGCTGCTCCAGGTCCACTCCCACCACACGGTCGATAAATCTCTGCCGCGTGGCCGGAGCATTGTGCAGCCCCATAGGCATCCTTCGGAATTGGTACAGCCCTCGATTTGGCACTACAAGAGCGGTGAGGATCTCAGATTCTTCTGACAGCGGAATCTGCCAATATGCTGATTTGATGTCAAGGGTTGTCAGGAAGTGAGAATTCCGCAGTTTGTCCAATGTAGCACTGACGAATGGAAAGGGGTAGGCATCCCGCGCTGTCACCTTATTCAACTCTCGGAAGTCCACTACGAACCGATATTTTCCGTCTTTCTTCCGTATCAGGAGAATTGGGGAAGGCTCGATGATCTCGTCCTTCAACATTTCCTCAATCTCTTCATTCACTTGCTTCTGTAGAGCGGGTGACAGGGGATAATGCCTTCTTCGTATTGGAGGGCTATCTGTTCGGATAAAATGTTCGACCAGACTTGTCCGTCCTAACTTGTCGCCTAGCGCTTGGAACGTTTCTTCTACTAACGCCTCCACTATAGACTTCCGTTCGGCGGTTAAATTGTCCACTGAGCTCAGACCAACGGCTGGTTGGCCCATTGTAACCTGCTGGTCGTCCCGGAAGTGCCATTCGCCCGAGTACATATCGGGAATGATCTGCATTGCACGCTAAAAATCCATCCCCAGTATAAGAGGATGGGGTAGAGAGGGTACCACTAACACCTCTATTACTTTTATGCGGCCACAAAACTCTATCGGAGTGGATACTATTCCGCGGACTTCGCATGTCTGGCCGTTTGCCACCGTGCAGGTGGGCTGGTTGGGAGGCATTAAGGAGCAACTTTGCTCGAGGATGGCCCACCATCGCCCACCCATAATGCTGTGGGACGCACGACTATCTAGAAGACCTAATACCGGCTGTGCATACAGCGTGACTTGTAGGTAAGGTCTTGAATCGTGCTTAGCGTGCGCTAGGACATAGTCTAAGATTATTTGTTGGACATGGGGAACCGTTTGGAATTGAGAAACCATCAGCCGGCTTACTGTTGGCCCCTCTGCCCATTTCTTTGACAATTAGGACACGAGTTGGAAAATACATTTTCACGTCCGCACTTGGAACAGAACATCTTGCGAGGTTGAGGGCACATCCGGAATTGATGCTGTCGACTACCGCAGTTCTAACAGAGACTCAGAATATTTGTCGGTGTCGTAGCGGGGTTGACAGGAAGTGCCTGCGCTTTTGTGGCGGCGATGACGGGGCCTCTTGAAACATCATTAAGTGCTGATTGAGTTCCAGACTGTTCAACTATGGGTACGGTGGGTCGAGATGTGGTGACCACTGCAAGTGCTGGAGATGGCTGCGGCCGTCGATATGCTAATTCTGGCTCCAACATACTACGGTAATTAGTGGGGGGTGGGGTAAACTTTTGCGCCCGCAGCTCAGTTTCTTCCACCGTGCGACTAAGACGGATGAGATCGTTGATGGTCTTGATCTCCTGAAGCAAGAGATGTGTTTGTAGGTGCGGGAGGAGGTTCCTCCTCATTAGATTCACACGGACCTCTTCGACCGGAGGTTGATCTAGTTTTCTGAACAGGTTCTCCATAGCAATAATGGAGGTCAAGACCCGCTCCTGTGCTCCCTGTGTCCTGCGACGAATTTCGTCTCACAGACTAAATTCATAGTCATAGGGTCTGAAGGCGCCGCGCAACTAGGCAACCAAATCATCCCAACTCAAGAAGTGTCCCGTTCTATACCACAGCAGTGCTTCTTTGACAAATAACTCCGGCGCAAATCGCAAGAGCTGATTTTTTTAAACGCCTCGCGCTAGACGAAACCCCTCCACACGTTCTATGAAATCGTTCACGCTGGTACGGCCATTAAACCACAGGTCCCAACGTGGAAGATCTACGGTACGGACATCTTCCCACTGAGGTGGTGATGCGACATCTTGACCATGTTGAACAGGGCACAAGTTAAGAGCTCCCATCTGACGGTGTAGCCCACCTTTCGAATCTTCGTCGAATCGAGTAGAATGAACCTGAGCCATTCGAGAGGCATATTTCAGATCTTGCCCCGTCGCAGTATTATTAGGGTCGAAACGTACGTGTGAGTGAAATTTCCCATGGGAAACCGTTCCGCCTGGCTTATCCGGGTAACCACATTGGGGCCAATTGGCTGCACGGTCACGCGATTCTCTAGGATAGTTTGGTTTGACACCCTTCTTGCCAAGGCCTGTACCTTCTCTCCTGCTCATATTGAGTAGGGTGACTGGGTTTAGGTTGGTACCCTTCTTGCCAAGGTCTGTCACTTCTCTTCTGCTCGTATTGAGTTGGGTGACTGGGTTTGGGTTGGGACCCTTCTTGCCAAGGTCTGTTCCTTCTCTCCTGTTCGTATTGAGTTGGGTGACTGGGTTTGGGTTGGGACCCTTCTTGCCAAGGTCTGTCCCTTCTCTCCTGCTCGTATTGAGTAGGGTGACTGGGTTTGGGTTGGGACCCTTCTTGCCAAGGTCTGTCTCTTCTCTCCTGCTCGTATTGAGTAGGGTGACTGGGTTAAGGTTGGGATCCTTCCTGCCAAGGTCTGTTCCTTCCCTCCTGCTCGTATTGAGTAGGGTGACTGGGTTTAGGTTGGGACCCTTCTTGCCAAGGTCTGTCCCTTCTTTCCTGTTCGTATTGAGTTGGGTGACTGGGTTTAGGTTGGGACCCTTCTTGCCAAGGTCTGTCTATTCTCTCCTGTTCGTATTGAGTTAGGTGACTGGGTTTAGGTTGGGAACCTTCTTGCCAAGGTCTGTCCCTTCTCTCCTGTTCGTATTGAGTTGGGTGACTGGGTTCAGGTTGGGAACCTTCTTGCCAAGGTCTGTCCCTCTTATCCTGTTCGTATTGAGTTGGAGGAGGTTCTACGGTTGGAGAACTGGGAGGCTCCCCAATATCAACCAGATCAGAGGAGACTGCTCCACACTATTCTGGGCCCTCAACAGTATTTGGTACTGGCGTGTCTAGGAGTGATGTAGACTGACCTTCCTTCCTGCTGGGTTCAAGGGGAACAGGAAGAAAGAACGGCTGCTGGTGCTGATTTTAGAGAGTGGCTGAAGTGGAAGAAACTCTGCCGGTTGGGAAATCGGTTTCCTCGCCATATTGGGAGTTGAAAGTTGTATACAGTCCCTTATTCACTAAACGTACTCTATCAATCAGTTGGGAACATTTATCCACCACTCTTAGTCTTGTCCATTGTAAATTATCAGAACTGTAATCCGTCGGAATATTAATTTGTCAGCAGTGTATAGTATCGGTACTGTAAAACATCATGACCGTATTTTAACAGAACTGTAAATAATCAGAACTGTGTTTCATAGGAACCGTAATTCATCGCTTCCGTATTTCATCAGCATATCAATGTATCATAATCGTATTCTATCAGAACGCTAATCCATCATAACCGTATTTCATCAAAACCGTATTCCATCAGAACCGTATTGTATCAGCACGGTATTTCGCCAGAATGGTAATCCATCGTAGGTACAGTGCCCTATCGGGAACGGAGTATCGATTTTCTGTCCGCTTTTCAGGTATGCTATGCGATGGCGCTGGTGAATGCATGTAAGATGGAAGAAGTATCAGATCAGAATAACTATTCTAACATGAAATATGTTATTCTGAATGAGATCTCGATAGAATTTCACCTCAAGAATCTTTGTAAGCTTCTCAATATAGCTTCTCAATGTGAGATCGTATATTTTTTATATTCTTATTGTCGGTGTTTGATAGGTGTATAGAGAGGCAGTTGGTTCCAACTGCCTGCGTGCGGTATCAATTATCAGGAATTCAGTTGTACCTACGAAAATTAAATTGAAAAAAAAACCTTATTCAATTTAGAATTTCCTTACACTCTGTAGATATGCATCTTATCGAAATGTTATATCTATACAAGAATATATAGAGAAACAAGGTGCTCTCAGAGTCAGAATGAGATGAACCGATGAAAAATGTCATGCGTATACAGGGTGAGGTGACAATCGACAATAATGTGATAAGCAATCATTAAATTGTTGAATTGTCTAACCGAATAACACTCAAGAATCTTTCTGTAGGAAGGTTTAGAAAATACAAAATCATCTCCACAACGTTTGATAATGGTAGAAGTTTCAACGATGAAACTTAGTATTCGATGTGGTCCCCTACTTCCAGATTTTGATACAGGATGAAATCATGAAGCAAAAATATCAAAATTTGCTATTGAATAACTACAGAGATATTGTCGTTGAAATTCTGGTTGGGGGTATTCCAGCTATATCCACTTTTTCTGAAATTAGTTGCCTGATAGTCTACTTTGAAATTTCGACCCATTCAACAAACAATATGAAGTAGGTATTAGGCCTTGACAATCTGTTTATATTCCAGATGTCCATATTCTCGAAAAGAGCTCGTTGTATACTACATAATGGAAATTTTATTCTGATGAACATGTTCCAAATTAAAAGGGTGTTGCGAGCTGATTTCGCACATACTGTTGTAGGTTCATGAATGAATCGCAATAATATGTAAGTTGAGAATAAATCAACCAAGAGCCGGCTGCAAATATCGCTGTCATCAGATAATGAAATGATATATGTCCCAAAGTCATGTGGAAACATCATTGTATTTTATCGAACGGCACCTGTGTCAATCACCAGCCTGAGCAGAATGATGGAGAAATTGCACTTTCCTGTGCAGAAATTTGCACTCGATTCCGCCATTTGATAACAAAATAAGAATTATGACATCTGATCATCCTATCATTCTGCTCAGGATAGTGATTGGCACAGGTGCCTTTCGATGAACTACGATGTTTTCTCAATCCTTTGGGCAGCCAGCTCTCCTTACTATAATGAGATTCATTCTGTGAACGTATAATACAGAATAATATTGAAAGAATGAACCAACGTTATTTTTGTTGATCTTGTATTGTTTTTTTTTCAATTTTCGCATCTCTTGGACCGCACGAAAGGAAATTCCCATAATGTTTTGGGAACATCGTTCGTACCTAGGAAGTACAGAAAGAGGAGGTAGGTGTTTCTTTTTCCAACTTCTGGATAATAAGTTCTTGGGAATACTTCCATTGGGGAAGAACTCCCATGCTTTGTCGTTATATAGACGACGATAATGTCGATAATACTGATAATATCGATGATATCGATTATTTTTTTTTTCATCGCTTGGAGCGCACGAAAGGGAATCACTATAATTTTCAAAGAACATCGTGCGTTCCTAGGGAGGATAGGGGCAGGAGGTAGGTATTGGAATTCTTACATCGATTATATCGATTATATCGATTATATCGATTATATCGATTATATCGATTATACCGATTATATCGATTATATCAATTATATCGATTATGTCGATTATATCGATTATGTCGGTTATATCAATTATATCTATTATATCGATTATATCGATTTTATCGAGATTTTATCGATTATATTATCAGTTTTATGAGTAGATGTTCTGTTCTTCATCAAAGTGCGGCTCTCATGAGTAATGAATGAACTTTCTTATAGGAAATCCATCAGCCCGTTTCATTGATCGAATTGTACTGACTTTACCATTTTCGATGTCCTAATGGTACCTATATCTTACTCATTTTCAAAGAAAGAGATCTGCGGATTTCGCGAATGTTGACTACTTTCTTGTGAAACTCATGATACCATAAACACAACTGGTCATAGTTCGCTTCGTTTCATAGATACAGTGCAAAATTCGAAATGTTGCCTCTCAGGACCACCTGTATCTGAACGTATAGAAAAAGTAGAAGTTGTCTCTTGTTTAGATTCTCCACGGAGGATCCAGTGGCATACTTAGTCAGATTTTCGAAACGAACTTTTCAGATAGATGCTTTGCGCTTTTCAAAACATATAACATTAAACTAATAATATTTATAGTATTTGCCTTGTATCTTGATAATTTCCAGTTTTTTCAGTAGGTATATCTTATTGATGGGCCTTGGCAACATTTTCACAAATGTTCATATTCACCTTGTTGCTGACAGTATTTTCTCACATACTAGTTTCAATTTTATATTGATATACCACATACACCAATATTCACCACAATTTATTGACTATAAAAGCTGTGATTCTAATTAGTATGTGGCAATGAAAAAAAGTAAGTGCAGAATGTTTTGAAATTTTTGTCAACTGACTTTACCTGTCGTTAAAATCAGTAATGGTTGATGATATTGATGATTGTTTATCATTCGCCATTGTATGAAAAAATTTGTAAACTTCGACAGGTAGTCAGGTGGAAAGAATTATAAAACATTCTGCACTCGCTTAGTGTGTGACGAAACAATGTGTCAACAACAAGGTGAATATGAAAGTGTGAAATTATCTGAAACTAAAATAGTTATTTTTGTATCTAGAGCGCGAAATGCTACTTTGGTGATCGAGATCTGATTTTTTTAACGAGGCGTAGCCGAGTTGAAAAAATAGTCGAGATGACCAAAGTATTTCGCGCTCGAGTTGCAAACAACATTTTTTCTACAAACGTCAGAAAATATAGTTCTACAGTAAAAATATGCTTAGCAAGATATGAAAAATAGTGTTGAACTGGCTTTGAAGGCCCCCCCTATCCTCCCTAGGTACGCACGATGTACCACGAACATAATACGAATTTCCTTTTGTGCGCTCAAGAGATAATACAAAAGTTATTGTTGAACATTCAGAAATAAGATATCTCATTGATTTTACATTACAATGCGCGAAGTAGGTACTTCGCGCACTGTTTTACTCCGCGCATTGTTATGTGCAAGGTATCATGGTAACGTAGGAAACTGAAGAAAAGTGTCACTTCGCAGTTTGTTATCAATGCGCGAACCTTGTCATTTTTTGACGTTTGTAGAAAAATTATCTATATACAAGGCTAATACCCAAAATGTCGTACTTATATAACTGTATTGTGTTTTCGAAAAGCACAAAATATCATTATTCCAATTATTTCGGGATTGTCTCTCCTCGTCTCTATAAAATAATAATATGAATATTATTTCGATATACGTGAAGTAAGGACAAATCAGATGATTTGCCCCAAAATGTCACTGCGTTTGAAGAATTTTCCTATCAGAGAGCCTAAAAGAAAAAATTCACTAGGCTCTCTGATAGGAAAATTCTTTAAACGCAGTGACATCTTGGGGCAAATCATCTGATTTGTCCATCTTCTTCTTCTTCTGTTATGTTTCTTGGTTTTCTGGCTCCTTGCGGTACCAATTTCACCAGATCAGGTAAGGCTAGTGTGTTGTAGTTTATGGGATATTCAAGGGATTTGATAATAATTATTGCCCTATTAGTCAGGTGAGGGTTGTTATCACATTTAGGGTTGGTGTTATGAGGTTTCCCATACTACGACTTCACATGTCTATAAACACAAGAAGGAACATACTATACAAACAATAACACAGTAACAAAGGGATTTCTCATTCTATTTGTCTTAAATCATTTAGATATTGACTTGGTTTTTTTCTATAAATGAACTCAGCACTTTAATTTTATCAAAGTTCAGGTCTCTGATTAGCATTTGGTATGAAAATGGAGGTAATAGTCCAATATTAATTAGTTTGCTGTATAAGATATCTAAATTTTGTCTATTGTTTTCACATTCAAAAAAATAATGATTAATATCTCCTACTTTTCCACATTCACATAGATCATTATCTCTAACGTTGATCCGGTAAGGGTGTTTTGGAAGGCAACAGTGACCTATTCTCGGTCTGATCAATGATGTGATTGATTCTCGCGAAATCGGTTGACATATATTGAACCAAGGTTTTTCTTGGATATCCGGTTGAATTTCTTTGTACTAAATGCCTCTTGTGTTTGCGGATTGAGTCCAGAATAGTTGGAATTTGTTTTTGATTAATGTCTTAGTGTACGGAATCAGGTCTAAATTTTGAATTTTATTGATTTTGTACGGGATACTAGCATTTTTTGCAATATCATTCGCTTTGTCATTGCCGGTTATATAGCTATGTCCCGGGATCCAGCAAATTTTAATTTTAAAATTGTTTTTTTGGTGTTCATGCCATATATTTTTTATCTTCATGTATAAGTTATTCATGTTAATTTTCAAGTTTTCATTTTGTAGCTCCGTTACTGCACTTTTT